ACAAAAAAATAAAATAAAATAAAATAGGTGTCCTAATCGGTGTGTCGGTTTTGTGTTGTCTCCGAGTCCGTTTCCCTGAGTTCAGGTTTATCCCTGCATAATAATGATATACTGTGTGTACGATAGGAGGGATCAAACAATGAAACAATAGTTATTGCCTTCCTAATTTGGAAATTGATGACGATGTTCAAAAAGGAAATTGTTTGTGAGAGTAATGGAGTGCGATCTTAATCCGCCAAGTTTAACTTAAAATTTAATGGCTTACCGGTAGGCAAGTGGGAGGGTGTGCGTATGTATGTTACCATTATAATGGAGGATAGACGCTGCTGAAGCATGTGGTGCGCTGACGATGAAAGGGTAGGAATTGCGGGTGAGGATGAGATACAAAGAACATCAACCGTGAAGACGTTTCATTTCATGTACATCCATCCGAGTTCAGTTAAACCCCATTAAAATTATCTACTCTAAATTTTGCAAATTCGGCGACATCCAATCCTTCGGGAGGTGAACCAAAAATGCCTTAATATTGTTGTCGCATTATTTCACCTGCTACCTGCCTACTTTATCTTACGGCCATACAATTGTTCGCAACTTGTAACACGGAGTTCGTTAGTCGCCTTACCAAATCAGTAGTGGGCATCCCTTTCTGGGACGAATTTGAATTGAATTCTTGCGCAAACAACAAACATCAGCATTCTCCTGTCTCGTCAACCCAGAAATTGGAAAACCCGGATACCTGAAGTCAGTCATATCGTGACACCATTGTTTTGATGATGATAGAATGCATCATATCACACACTCTCCGGAAGGAAAACAATAAAAATGCAAAATGCGAGGACAATAACAATTATGGCGTTTAAGAAAAATTCATGAAACGACCGGGTTAGAAACATGAAACAGTGGAAGGGACCATTTGGAGAAATAAGGTGGATACGTCATGTCATTGATTAAGTGATGCGATATGATTAGCAAAAATGTTGACATGCGCCATCAGAAAAAAAAACCTTAAAAATAGAATAGATGATCAGGGGTCATGAAGATCGGTCGGACACGTTTCACCTATTTAACGACTTTTTGCGCAGGCGCGCAGTTATTTATAACCTTCTGAAAGTGGGTTTTATTATTATGTGACAAAAAGAAAACGGGTACACACGTACACTCGGTGGAAAAAAGTTTTCGGATGTTTATTTTAATGATTAAGTATCACATTAAAATTAATTCTGAATGCATGCATGCTATTTAACTTAACTAACTAGTTGGTGGGTGACCCCTGCCTTTTCATTCAATACATGCTGCTGGCCAATCCTTTTCGGGTGTTTTTTTTTTTTTTTATTCTTGTAACATGATGACGAATTTTTAAATGAGATTTAAACCAGGTTCCCGTGTCAAGGGATTTATTCCATTTCTCATTTTACTATTACCATTACTATTTATATTAAACAGTTCGGTTTAACCGAGTATTCCCCCATCATGATCTCACATAAACTATTGCTTTCTTTTTTAACACGCAGTGTGATGATCAAGTTTATTTTTCGCCGTTGAACTGCAAAAACTTGGGATATCCAAAATTCTTTGATTCTCGATATACCCATGTCCTCCTTCTAGTGATAACCAATTTCTCGCAGTTAATTAACCTCACCACTCCGATCAACAAAGAGATTAAAACAACCGTTGATCATAATCCTAATTCCTAATTCATGCTGTTACACGCGGCAAGAGATTGTAAATAATCAACATGCTATATTTTCGTGGGCCATAACACCAAATAGGCAAGTGTCCGAAAAACTTTTTTTTTCATCACCCATCAAGCGAATGAGCCAAAAATTCTATCCGGCGAGTGAGCGAAAGGTGGTCAATTCTCAATAAAGTCCACTTTTGGCGTCAGCATGGCGCACACGTCCTTGACCTTATTACCAACGAGAGGAATCATATCCTCTTGCGTGACATAAGTTTTTGACCTGGTCTCGACCCAACATTTATTTCTAGAATCTATGCTCAAAACATTAAAACCTGGAAGCATTCCTGCTTCCGCTCAAAATTAGTCAGATTCTTCAAACAACGATCTTCATGATGCCATTTGATTATCTGAAATAAATGGTTTGGCTCATTTTACGAAGAATTTTTTATGGTTAGCCTTATCTTTTTGGTTAACGCACACTGTATGTATGTGAGATGACAAAGTTACTTTACCGTTGAATGTTTGTTGTATAAAGGTTGTAAGGTTTAAAACGTACTCCTTGTGTTCAACGGACACACACATCATTGTCGTATGTTCCGGATATACTGTACACGCTGGTGTATAACGGTCGACATGGGGGGGTCTAATCGTAAATTATGCGCATAATGAAGTATTGGGATGTTTTGGGGGCTGTTTTTCTTCGAGAGCTCTTGCACATGAAAAACCTTCTTCAACATGCATGACCACCAACCACACAGGTCACAGCGTCAAACAAACAAAAATTCATGCCATCATTTACGGAAAAAGGTTATCGCACTAGGAATCTCGGAAAGAATTTCGGAAAGAGTCATGCGCAAAAAAAATCCTTCGAAAACCCCTTAACCTAAACACGCTAAGTAAATGAACGTAACCAAATTTCCGGTGTACACCCCTCCCCTCATACAATCAAATATTATTTTTGATTTCACCTTCTTGGTAACCTTCGTCCATCATCATCATCACCATCATCATCATCACCATCATCATCATCATGTATGCAAAAAAAAAAAAAAAAATACATTTAATTTCGTAAAACAAAGTTTATCAACGTAGATCGTCGCATAAGAACTCTTAAGGTTTTCATTTAACGAAAAAAAAATAATAATAATAAATAAATAAATAAATATACTATACAGTATATACTGTATATACAGTATTTGCTGTAATTATCATTCTCAGAATTTCTAAAATCTATTTATTTGTTATCTGGAATCAGCCGACCACACAATCTTCCGATAAACAAAACCCAGTTTTACTTCTGATTGGAAACTCGGTCATCTTTTAACCGGCAGTGATGTACAGGCTAAATGTACACACACGCTCACAAATCGTAACACTACAGAGTACAAAATTCTTTTTTTTGACACAATCTCGTTTCCAACCAATGTGCTCGGAGTAGAGTTATTATGTGTTAACTTAGACTTAGGTATTAACCGCCGTCCTTACCTGTGTTCCTTCCTTTGGATCTTACGCATTTCTGGGTCCCATATGTTTACCCCCGAAAAACTTGGTGTCCAAAAATAGTGTTTTGAAACACAACATCACCCTGTTCTCATAATAATCATCTCATCTTTTTCCATTTCCTCCTTCCTATTTGGCCACATTGCGAGCAAGTTTTTTTTTTTTTTTTTTTTTCTGTCCTCCGCAAGTTGCAAAGGTTATGTTTAAGGGAAAAAGAAGTACCAAGAAGTGATCCCATTTGGAATGAAACTTGAAACAGATATTATTGTCGCTCTTCGGCTGGTCCCTCTTTCTTAGACTCCTTCCAGAATCGACGAATTTGAAACAATGGACAGGTAAACATGTCATATCGATTTTCTCAACGCGTGAGTAACGCGCTTTTATTTTTAGAACAGAACTAGTGATGGATGTGTGCTTCTTACTAGGTTTTTTTTTACACTAGCGGTATGCGGCATGCAAGGCCTGAAAATCCATGGATGCGAAATGCGACACCAAAACAGGTGAAGTCCCTCGTCAAGTCCGAGTCAATCATGTTCCACACCTATCTATCCAAAGTCGAACTTACTGTAGCTCTGTCAAACGGCTTAGATATATGGTCAAAAGAATCTTTTTTAGATGCACTGGGCCAATGGAGAATACCACGATGCTCAAGCGTCTTTTTTTTTTTTTTTTGGAAAAACGACTAGCTGTAAAAAAAAGGTAATGTCGAAGGTAGTTCCTTCTGGTAGATATGGGATTCAAATTTGGCTTTTTTTTTTTTTTTTTCCTGCTTTACTAAAAAACGACATATATTGGTTTTGCTTGTTTTTTTTTTTTTTTTTTTTTTCAGCAAGGGTAACTCAGGTTCGGCTCGGAAAGATCTTACCAAAAAAAGAATTAAAATACACATACGTGTAAGTCAAAATATATTGAGTCCTAATCAGCTCTGGAAACCTGAGTAAAATCTGAGCCCAATAGAATTGTACGATAATATTAGCCCAAATAGGAATGGGTTTCACAACCCTCGTAAAATGGCATATATACAGTACATGGAGTCACCCTCGCTGAAATCACTTTTCCCGCTCAAAAAAATACTGTATATACTTTTTTTTTTTTTGAATTTAAATTGTTATGTTATTTTAATTGTTGGGATCAGGATTCCACCCGAGATCGTAGTAACAAAATTATTGATTTGGACTTATTGACTCCGTATATGGGTGGAATGTTGGTGGGCATAAAATTGGTGCTTAAGTGCGTTAAAATTCTGGCCAATGAGGATGCAACAAAATTCGTCTATCGGTAAAACTCCGTCCAATGATTGATGGTAGAACGACAAAGCCTTATTAAATAGTTGAATTCTGGTAACATTTGAGAAAACATGACACCTTCTGCTCATAGAAATGTTTGTCCTTCATGGTACATGTTTATTTTTCATGATTCATCTTGTGCTGTTTCACACGATGATCCGCCCATATATGCTCTCTATGCCTTCCCAAAGGAAACATCTCGACAAGTTCATGACTTGTTAATGGTTTCACATGACAGTTTCCTTCAGCATTTCTTTTTTTGGTCATTAGGTTGGGAGGAGAGTATTCAGGACTGTATTGGAAAGGGATTTGCTCTTTGTTGTTTGCTTGTTTGCCTTCGGAGATTCGCTAATCGAATGAAACATCGAAAGCCTCAATGGACCGATTTTTTTTTCTCCTGCTTCGTGCGCGTAACGTTCATTCATCCAGCTTCGCTTCACACCAACCTCACCGCACCGGTTCCAAAGTTCCGAAACAAAAAACTTGCCTACAATCAGAACAAAGGATAAATGGACAATTGCGACTAAAATTTCCCTATGACGCAAACCCGATTCTTGTCCCTCTTGATTGTTTCCTCTCTCTTTCCAGATTTGCGAGTTGAACAAATTGTTTTCTTTTTGGAAGTAGAGCCCGAGGTCCGATATGAATTGGAATGTGTCCCGATTACAAAACACGAAATGATCCAAAACAATCGATAGCTTTATAATACTTGGTGTTCAAAGTTATTGTCTCTCAGACTCGGGCAAGGTCGCAGGAATTTCTTTTTGTCAATCAGGTTAACTATTTGAGTATTGAGGGTGAGCGGATTGGCGCATAGAATGAATCAATGAAAGGATTATTGATGAGTGATCATTGGACGATAAAATGATAAGATGATTTGGTCATTAGATAGAGACGCATGATTGGGAGATGCTTTCATTGAGATCTTGACGTGCAGAGCAGATCACATGCACATTTTTCGAAAATTTATTCGGTTGATATATTCGGAAACAGAAGGGAGTCAAGAATGCTGCTTGTTTACGTAATGGCGATGGATGTTACGTGAGCGGTTTTGTAAGAATCTCCTTTAATCACGTGATTCAAATTTTTATAATATCATTCATATCGATCGGATCACCGATTATATAAAAATAAAAAAAAATAATAATAATAAATAAAAATTTTAAAATTTAGCATAAGATTTGTCACATTATTCATACTATAGTGAAATTTTGATTAAATTAAATTGCCGACACTTGAAAAAATCAATCTAAATAATATTTTTAAAAATAATGCTTAATCTTTTATCTTTATGATATATAGATTTTTATTTATCGATTGAAGCTAAAAAAATCCAATTAAATAACAAAATAGCTTATAAAATAGCTTATATCCTAAAATTGATAAATATATCATACAATCCTTTGGCTTTAGAATTAAATCAGAATTTTTTATTATAGATAATTAAGTATTTTATAAAACAAATAAAATATTTTTTAATTATCTTTAATTAAGTATCTTTTGTAAAAAGAAAAAAGATCTATAAACTAGACACAAAAATGGTTAATATTTCAGAAGAAATAGAAATAGAGTTAAGATATATTTGAATAATATCTTAAATTACCATAAGAAAAAAAATTTTTTGAAGAAAGAGTTTATTAATTGAAATAAGTGATTAACTTTTTGAATGCAAAAGAAAGAAAATGTTATAAAATATATAGAAAAAACAAATCAGAAAACAAAATAACTTTATCTTTTAATATCTAATCTCTTAAGTTACTTAAATATATAAAAAATTAAAAAAAGACTTGAATAAAGTTTTTCAAAGACTCAAAATCAAAGAAAATACTATTATTTAATATATACTGTATCTATATATTTGATAAATATAAATTAAAAAATCAATAAATTTTTTATATATAAATATCTAAAAAGATATAAAAAATTCAAAATATTTATATCTATAAAGTCAATACAAGGTCTTAGGTTAAGGCTTATATCAAATAAATAAATATTTCAGCTTCAATTCAAACACAAAATAAATAATTTCAATTAATACAAAGTTATATACTTTGAATTAAAATTAAATAATAATATATTTAATAATATATTAATTAAAAGAAACAATAATTTAGTAAAATTTCTAAATATGAACAAAATATATATTAGTTTAATAGCCAGAGTATCAAATAGTATTCAAGTTAAAATATACTATATTCTTTAAAATCCTTATATACTTAAGAAATAAAACTTTACAATGATTTGTTTTAAAATAAAAAAAAAATAAAAATAATATATTGTCGAGCTCTAAAATTTTGTCATATAATTTTTTTAAAATCTAGAATAATCCTATAATTTCATATAAATATGCTATTATTTTTTTGATACCTTAAAGCAACGATCTTTAAAAATACTTTTATAATATTAATAGTCAATTTTACTATTAACAAACTTAAATATAAGTATTTTAAAATATTTCATAATTTTATCTTATTATATATACTGTAATTATTATTTTCAAAGAATACTTGAGTTCTATTTAATAAAACATAATTTAATAGTTCATCAATAGTATAACTTTATTATTATTTCTATTATTTTATATTCTCAAATATTATATAACTTAATTATATATTTAAAAAAAAATTCTTCTTGAGATTTCTCAGAATTTATTTAACAATAAAATTATCTTTAACATGAAATTATTGTTTTAACTTTTCTGTCTAAATAAACCTCTTTATATATTTTTATTTAAACTAGAAACTTTTATATATTATATTGGAAGTTTAACTAGATATTTTCCTGTGCTATTTCTTTATTTTTATTTGTTTTATAAGAGATAAATTAAATATGTTAATAGTATCTAAACAATAGATCTTTTTACAAGAATTGTATTTTTAGTGAAATATTAAACAAACTACTAATTATAAAAAGCAAAGTCTTAAAAGTAAAATAAAAAATCCAAACTCAAGAATAAAATATAAAAGAGTAAAAATAAATATTAAGCTAAAATTAAACTTATAATTAAATAATAATTCTATAAATTTTATTTCTATTATGATAAAAATAGTCTCTAATACTATTGAATAGTTATTTTTAGTCATGATATTCATTCCATTTCTATTTTTATCTATTTATTTATAATTATTTCTTTGATATTCTTTGATATTATTATTGATACTTAATTAGTATAGATCATTCTATCAAATATAGCACGTGACATAATTTATCATAGATCAGACAACCTAGGAGACCTAAAAGATCCAAGTGACCCAAGTGATCCATTTTTTACAAGTATATAAGTAGTCATAATTTACTCAAAAGTAGGATAAGTTTGAATATAGTTTTACTTAACTTTGGAAGTTTGAGTATAACTTCATTTTGATTTCTTGAAGATTGGATATCTTCTTTTAATTTTAAAACTAAAAGAATTGTTCCAGTTTTCTTAATTTATTAATAAACTTGGATTCTGAGTGAACCATATTTCTTGTGAAATACTGTGTGACATTGTTTAAAGAATTTGTAATGAATTTATTCTTAAATACTTCTTTAATTATTATAAACCACTTCTTTAATTCTTTTTTTGAGAATTGTTCTTTTAAAAGCAATTCCACTTAGACACATCAGTTAAATATAAATTTGATTATATTTTGGCAATAACGACAGGACTCTGCTCTCCAAAAAGAAAATTTAACAGAACCCTGCTTTCTAAAAAAGACATCTGATAGGACCTTACTCTCCAAAAAGGATATTTGAATAGGATTAATCTTTCTTAAAAGAATAATTGAATGAATAACAACTTTAATAACTGGATTTCAAAATCATTATCAGATTTTGTAACTAATTATCCTAAATACTCTCTTGAAACATTATTATTATCTTCTTCAATCCATTCATTGAATACTTTTAATCACAATCAATATAGTGCAATTTATTCTTCTTCACTATCTTATAATTTAACAATGGATAATATTTTTCAAGATTCTTGAGATCAAGCAAGCCATTCTTACAACTTGAATCAATCTTGAAATAGATATCTCCCACAAGGTTAGAATGATGATAAGAAAAGTAATAGGTAGGAGAGTACAGTGACAACCATCAAAACAACAGGAAGAATGAGCAATAATCACTACTATATAGTAATAGGTCAGGTCAAAGGCAAAAAAATAAGCAAAGAAAGGAGTAACAAAATCAACCTATCTATAATCATATGCAAAATAATGATTAAAATTTCATCAATGTATTGTGACAACTTTTTGAATCAATTGCTGAAATAAATATATCAAGAAACAACAATCAAAGAGAAATAAAACTGGTAGATATATCAATCTTCAAAGGAGGAAACAAAATAATCAAATTAATTATTGGAACAATACAGTATATCCAGCTGAATCTTTTGTGCATCAATTCTGTGCAACTTGATGTATTACTTATTACAAATCAAGATGAATAAATCAATTAAGGTAGTAAATACAAAAACCAGAAAAAACTGTGAATGAATACCTAAATACAATAACTCTTCTTTACAAGTATATTGATCCTGATAACAACTATCTTCTTGAGAATAAAACTAGACAATTCATTAATAGATTAAGGAATAAATTAAGAAAACAGTTAAAATTTCTTGTCCTCTCAACATGGCTGAAGCCATCAATCATGCTTATACTATTTAATCAGCCTACTTCAAGAATTCTATTTTGAGTGCTTATTCTTTAAAATATAATTATTTGAACCAGGATGCTAATAAACTCAAAAACATTAAAACAGCAATTATTTAATTATCTTAAGGATTTCAATAATTGATCACTTTAACTAATAGAAAATATAATGACAACTGCAATATTAATAGCAATAATAGGAAAGGAAATCAAAGGAAAACTCGTATCTACAACAATTGTAAAAAAGTTGAACACTTGCAACGTGACTGTAGGTTATGCTGTAACAACAATAATAGCAATAATAAAAAAAATAGCAATAACTTTAGGAGGTTTGACACCAACAATAATATTAACAATAGGTATCAATTCAACCATAATAATAATGAAAAGAGATGTTTTATTTGTAACCAACTGGACATTTGACCAACCAATATTCTCAAAGGAATATCAACAATTCAACGAATAGAAATAAATCTAACATCAATCAATTATCTTCCAGTAACAAATCTAATAATTACAATCAATGGCTTAATCTCTCTATGCAAGGCTTTGCTGATGCTGTAAAGTGAGCAAACCACTATTTAAAAGATTAAAGGAACCTAAGGAGGGTCAAAAAATCTCCTATATTTTCAAATTCTACTATATCAATATCTTTTCTATCTAAACAAATTGAACAAATCAATCCCAAAGCTAGGAAAGTATTGTATTATAATACAAAAATTAATGACTATCTCATCTATTTAATTATTGACACTGGGTCAATAAATAGTATTATTTATAAGCTATTTTTGGACTCTTTGGGATGCATTATTTATGAAACATTTGCTATTAATATTGTGGGCATAAATGGAAAAAAAATAATTATTGGGCAAAATGAAGAATTTATTAATCACTATCAAAGAATTACTATACCTGTTACTGTGGATGTGTCTGAATAAGCTTAATATAGTGTCATTGTGGAAAATGACTGGATTATAAAATTCAAGACTATTATCAACTATAATCATCAAATCATAGACTTGAATTATTTGAGCAAAAATATTCAATGCAAGGTCACATATTGAAAAAAACCAAAATTTAATAATGATAGAAGATCTATAGGAATTAAACCTATGAATAAGGGAAAAGAAAAGGAAATTTATAATTTAACTGATGAATTAGAATATGAGAAAACTTTGAATAAAAATCAAACTTACTGTGCACTCTTGAGAAACTCTAATGAACAATCACTGATGGAAATTGATAAGTCAACAGTTACTATTGGACAGTGTGAGTAATCAATAACTTATATTC